ATGTCGACAAAGAGTTAAAGGGGTTGAAGAGTCCTTAAAAAGTTAATTATACTAAAGCCAAATTGCATTGGCACACAAGTTTATACATTACAGAGTGTGAAATCTTACTTGACATTCCAGATAAAGCTTCATTCCTCATCTCAGTTCCTTTTGCTTTGTCCAGCCTTTCTTTTTCCTTTTTCCGCTCTCTTCCTTTCATCTTTACGTTTTTTAAGTCTTCTATATCTCTCTTGTAAGTACTTATATCTTCTAACAACTGATGCAGTTCAGAGTACTCCTCTTCAGTACCTGATCTAAAACGTATAATTAATCACACACATCGATTTAAACGCAGTTGTATTCACAAGTCTATAAATATCAACCTGTACTGTATTGACAGTCTAAAATTTATATTCAAAATATATACAGAAGCTTACTTTTTAAGATTTTTCTTATCCTCTTCATTGTATTTCATAAGTAAACGGTCAACTCTCTCTCTACAACCTCTTCCTTTTAGGATTACCACTTTTTCTGCAATGCTGAATATTTCACTCAAGGTTTCAGCTACACTTTCCCATTCCATTGGCGACGAGGGTCTTCGTGCGAGAACTTCCTTGCACAATAATATGTCATAGGCCACATTTGACCATCTGAACGGGGCCATTTTCTAGATAAAATATCAGTTAATGTCTAAGTTACGTCTGAGTTGACGATATTTCAAAGAAATGTACACAATTTATAAACTCTTGCAAATCTAGCGAAAGTCAACTTGTTTTGGAATGCCTGGCGCCATCGTTGTTTTCATCGTGCTCGTACAACTTGCTTTTAAAAGTCAAAACTCGCCTGGAAACTTTCTATAGAACCTCATAAATATTAAAATCCAGTACTTGTGAAATAAAAGAAGCAATCTGCAGGATATAAACATGGCTTTACAATGGTTTAGTAGCAATAAAACTCTGCAGTAATTGACTTACCTCTAGAAGCACTCCTTCGCGTTCAAACGTGAACCTCAGACGGCAAACTTGACGGCAAGGTGAAGGTCACGTGACATTTTCACGTTCGCGGTTCGAAGTAAACGCAAATCTTAAGGTCTCTAATATAGGCTCCCCCCCCCCATTAATAAGGGGTCTGGAAATCCTATGGGGGAAGGGGGGGTTACTTTAAATTTTCCTGGAGGGTAGCTTAAGAGATTTTCCAAAAAATAGCAAAAAGTTTGGTCATTCACCTACCATTCAACTGCTAAATGTGCTTCGTCTACAGTTATCGCCTTCACTCTTTTTTGTACGCGAGTTGATCTTATTTCTCGCATTTCAATGATAGCTTCGGATGTGCAAACAGAATTTGACAATTTGAAGGTATTTCATCTGAAGATTTGCGCTGGTTTACTCACAAACATTCACCCCTTCTTGAACGGATATCACATAGTCAGCATTTGCAATGCAAACTGATATTTTGTACATCTTTCAATTTGTCAATTTGATCTTGAATTAACACATTCAGCGGCAACACAACAATAACAAGCAATCTCTGCTCGATTGTTGACCCTGTACGGTACTCCAAAAAATCGAATACAGGAGAAATACACTGGTAGATCAGGGACTTTCCGAATCCAGTGGGAAGAACGGCTAACACATCCTTTTTTCCACACACAATCGAATGAATAGCGTCATATTGGGCTTGTTTAAACGTTATATCTTCCCTTCCTAGTACATGAAGAGCATGTTTTATCGCCAAACCAAGAACCTCGACGCCAAAGTTCGTCATTTAAAAAAAAATCTATCAAGATATTTTGTAAAGTTGTATTTTATAAATCGAGGTATATAAATTTATGTACAAACTTGTAAACAAACACTGGCACTCAAGCATGCGCATTAGAAATTAGTGCAAGTTTTCTTGCAGTTCCGGTTCGGTGTGTCCCAAGGCCTAGGGAGGATGCGTGCAGCCGAGAGGCCCTGAGAACGAGGATGACTCGTCATGTACAATCGGTATGCAAAATTTCATTTGATTTGGGCCAATAATAACTGAGCTATGCTTCAGTTTAGTATTCATTAAACATACTTACCCAACCAATGACGTCACACGTTGTGCTGAATCAGCAACTTATATTTTACACATTTTTGCGTATAACTTCGGAACAACTTCGGCTTACTTTTTTATGCTCTTTCAGATGAAGCAATAAAATTTTTTGCTGCCAATACCCTTTAAAACTGGAAATGATGGAATAGTCCATGGGAACCAAGCAGGGTCAATCGAGATAATTGTTACTCTAACTCTGTTGTACATGTGCTGTTATCTAAAAAAAAAGTTAAACTTGTCAAAAAGGATTTGTCTATCTATGAAGTCTAGCAAAATATCCAACCATCATCATACAACTACAGGTAGCAGACCACAGGTCAGTGATGAGAGAGATGAGAGAGGATGAAAATGCAAGCGGAATCAGCCAAGAAGAATCTGAATTAGATTTAATTTCGGAACACATTTTGGAAAAGGATGAAACAAGTGAAATACTACAAATCAAGGACAATAAAAAACAGAGAAAAATTGAAGCTTGTAAAGCCCGCCGCACACGAGACACTTGTCGCGCGTACTTGTTATTCGTGACAAGTTGGGTCGACAAAATTTCCTTGTGTGTGGGGAACATTTACGGCATTTTCGTCATTCGTGACATGTAAACCAAATATCAAACATTAAAAACAACATGGCGGATCAAAATCACGAGCTTGTGTCTTGTTTTTAATTCTGCAAGTTGCATGTATGCGCAAATTTTCCTATTCAGGCACACTTGTCGTTTGCTCGCCGCACACGAGAATGTTTTTGTCACAAATGATGAAAAATATCAAACAAGTTTGATATTTGGTTTACATGTCTCAAATGACGAAAATGCCGTAAATGTTGCCCACACACGAGGAAATTTTGTTGATCGAACTTGTCATGAATAACAAGTATGCGCGACAAGTGCGCTCGTGTGCGGCGGGCTTTAGGTTGCAGCTGACAATATGCGGATGAAGGCAATGGAAAAGTTATCTGAAACAAAAAAGAGAAAAGGTGAAGATCATGACATGCCAAAGAAGAAGAAGTGACCACTGATCACACTTGGAGTGCGCTCTAGAACCAACATGATGCAGTGCATCTCATGCATGTGACTTTGGCGATAAAATCTTTTCCGCATGTGACAATATAAATGAGTACTATAATAATTTAAACAAACTCTCACACAGCAATCTTGTAAACCAGTAGTAGACTAAGCTTTAGATATTTTGTTACTGTAAACATGTTTGTTAGAGTATCTATATACTGAAGATTTTACCATGGTTAAATTAAATAAGTGCAGGATGCAAGTGAAGACTAAAGAGACGAGGTGTGATATCCGCCAAAGATGAATATTTGAGCCCTATAAAAATAAATTGTGGTACACCGGTATCACAGGAAATCCCCCCCCCCCCCGAATTTGGTCACCCCGGGCCAAATTTCCTACGAAATTTGGTCCCTCTCGAAAACATAGTTTACTTTATCACTATAAGCTCAGAAATTGTGAAGCTTCTTCTAAAACCAAGATCCTAAAACGAAGATCCTAAAATGTTTGTCAGTATTTATAGATAGTTTGCATAATTTATTTGTGTCAAAATTCTTTATTACGGCCAAGCACTATAAGTTTGAAGGAAAGAGTAATAATAATAATGTGCTACTGCAGTCATGCCAGATACATCACACATGGGTATCTGTAGAGGACAGCGTTAATGCATAATGGCTTAGCTTTAAGCTAAGGACACAAAACGATTTTTAGAGATAGGAGGAATTTCTAAGATATTACTTAGATCTAAAAATTCTTAGATCTAAAAATTCAGTCACATAATATAAAATTAGTCAGAATAATAACTGCACTTTAGCAAACAATGACATCATGTGTTGGCGAATATGTTAATATGCATGCATCTAATAAATAACAGGGAATAATTAGCATCAGGGTAAAAGTAGACTTTAAAGTGGAAAAATGTCGGAGAGATTTTATTGCCACAGCGTGATGAGTGATGTGAAACAATATTTCAAACACTCATTAATAATTCGTAAGCTTATTGGCAAATCATGTCAATCATAATATGTCATGTGCAGTGGCTTTAAACCTGATAAAACACTCCTAATTAGTATTCTTTATATAACGAATACTAATAAGGCAGTATCTATTGTTGTCGTGTCCTTATTAGTATTCTTTATGTAAAGAATACTAATAAGACAATATATCTATTGAATTTGTAATCGTGTTTGAAGCCGTTTAATAAACTTGCAGGTCGTGTTTTATTAGGTCTAAAGCCACTCGCGCTGCGCGCTCGTGTCTTTAAACCTAATAAAACACTCCTGCTCGTTTATTAAACAGTACGTATCACCCTGTGACATCTGTCAGTGAGTAGATGGTA